TAAAGTCCCAGTGGACAAATTGGGCCAGAGCCAGAGCCCCGCCCTCACAGCCCTGAACAGCCTACCCTCTACCTGTTCAGGGTTTAGCGTGGGTGGGTTTTGTGTGTTTAGGGTTTAGGATTTAAGGTCTTAGATTTAGGTTTAGGGTTGGGCCAAAAGCCCTCGAAATACCAAATCTGCCCCAACATCGGCCCTAGCTGTTCGCCTCACGAGCCAAACATCACGCGTCGCGCTCGCGGCTGTAAAGTTGGGAAGTCATAGAATCTTGGTAGCCCAGTGGTACCCTTGACGCTTTTTTGGGTTTAGGGTTTAGGGTTTAGGGTTTAGGGTTTAGGGTTTAGGGTTTAGGGTTTAGGGTTTAGGGTACAACCAGCCAACTAAAAGGGTGCCCTTATTATGATATGGTTACTGGGCGACGAAGGATGCACGGATCTCAGAAGGTTTTACCCTCTGGACTAAGTTCCCGACTAAACCAAGTTCCCGACTGACCAAGAATCACTAGGTCAGTCGGCCCCTTGGTGCACCATGTGGGCTTAGGGTTTAGGGTTTAGGGTTTAGGGTTTAGGGTTTAGGGTTCAGCCCGCTGCTCAAGCGTCACGCCGCACTTGAAGGCATGTCGGAAGTCGTGCAAATGCCACCCCAATACCCCCTCGAACCCTTAAAAGTCTCGACCCCTCCACTCAAACACTGCCCTCTCCACGTCCGTGTTACCAGTCCGTGCGACCGGCCGGAAGGCGCACTCTTGCGCGCCCTGCATTTCTCGGAGTTTTGGGGCGGGGGGGGGGGGTGGGGAACGTCCATTATTGGTAGCGTCCATGTCTGTCGGCATCCGCCCGTCGAGGAATCTGTGCTGTTTCTTCCTGGCTCCCAGACCTAGGTCTTGTGCACATTTGAGCTTGAGCAGGTCCCAAGGCATGCCAAAAAACGCAGGGCACACCAGAATGCGTGATACCTTGTTTTTGTAGGCCTCGCCGCACTGCTTCTTTTGCTGGGGAGCCTGAAGGGGATCCGTGCCCACTACGTGGAAAATATGTTCTTGCGAAGCTGTTCTTGTCGGTGGTTCGGTTTTCCTGAAGTCTTTGCGAGTGCTGTAATGTAGACTAATGAACCGTGTGGACTGCCTATATACAAGTTCGCTTTTTCGGAAAACGCGAAACTTCGACAATGACACTTTCCAAGCCTGCGCAAGTGCCGGAAGTACTGTAAATACCGAGTAAGACGCAACTTCTTCCGGTCTGCTCACAAATCCTCCGCGACTCCGCAGCGGGGGATACGGGAGCCTTTGGGAGGCTTTGCGACCAACACGATAAACAAAACCTGCTATTTGCTGAACCGCAGCCCAGGTCTTTGAAGCCTTGCTTCAAGAAGGGCTGCCAGTGGACGAGGCCGAGTAGCAGGGGTTTAGGGTTTAGGGATGTTTGGGGTTTAGGGCTTGGGGTTTAGGTTTTAGGGTTTAGGGTTTATAACTCATCGCAGGGTTTCGGGTTAAGGGCCTAGGTTGGGATCATCCCCCCTTGTACGAACAGCTCCTTAAGAGTGTTAAGGGGTTATAGTACCCCCTATCAGAATCCCGATTAAGGACTGTTAGTATAGGGGGAACATCCCAAGGTCTAGGGTTAAGGGTTTAGGGTTTGGCGCGTCTCTAAGGCAGCAACAAGCTGCCCAAAATGACCATTCTAACTCAACCGGGCCCTATGGTAGCTTGCAAAAAACAGTCTGTCGTCACTACAGATACAGCGAATCTACATCTATACCTCCATGTATCAAGCTATCTACTTTCTACAGATCTATCTATCTGCATAGCCCTAAACCCGAAACCTTAAATCCCAAAACCTCTCGATGTCTGTGCATGTCTCCCAGTCAATGAAGGTGCGAAGCCCCAAACTAGGGAACAGACCTTTAGGGTTTAGGGTTTAGGGTTTAGGGTTTAGGGTTTAGGGTTTAGGGTTTAGGGTTCAAACCGCAGCAGGAGTTAGAAGTCTGAGCCAAGCCGAGCAGCTCCACGCCCGCCCAACAGGGTTTAGGGTTTTCGGTTGGTTTTTTTCCAGGTGTCTTACGGTCTAGGGCCTAGGGGCCCAAAACCCTAAACCCTAAACCCTAAACCCTAAACCCTAAACCCTAAACCCTAAACCCTAAACCCTAAACCCTAAACCCTAAACCCTAAACCCTAAACCCTAAACCCTAAACCCTAAACCCTAAACCTTAAACCTAAACCCTAAACCCTAAACCCTAAACCCTAAACCCTAAACCCTAAACCCTAAACCCTAAACCCTAAACCCTAAACCCTAAACCCTAAACCCTAAACCCTAAACCCTAAACCCTAAACCCTAAACCCTAAACCCTACACCCTACACCCTACACCCTACACCCTACACCCTACACCCTACATCCTACACCCTAAACCCTACACCCTACACCCTAAACCCTAAACCCTGTCTTCGGACTGAGGGTTGCCAACCCTCGACCCTCAACCCAAAGTTGCAAGCCCTCAAGTCCTGAACCCTGGGACCGCCCTGAAATCAGAATAGCAGATGGAAGAAACTGTGGTTCAGGACTTAGGGTTTAGGGTTTAGGGTTTAGGGTTTAGGGTTTAGGGTTTAGGGACATCAAAGAAGAATAACCATATACTGCTGGACCTCGTGAAGCCGGCAAGCTAGTGTGCCTGTAAGATTTCAGGGTTGAGGAGTGTCAGGGCGCCCTGACATGAGTAGCTTCCGAGGGTACATATTTTTTGCTTAAGCACACTAGGCTACCCGATGTAAATCCTCAACGAAATTCCCAAGCCACTGCATCCCAAAACCCTGGACCCCACAAAGCCCTGAACCCTAGCCCCCTAAACCCTGAATCCTGAACCCTCGGCCCCGAAACCCTAAACCCTAAACCCCAAACCCTAAACCCTAAACCATCCTGGTAGGGCATGCAGCACCGAGCCATGCAGCTCTTGGGGGTGGACACCGCGCTTGGCCTGCTCCGCAAGCCGGGGCACTGAGGGGCTTCTGGGGTTTAGGGTTTGGGGTTTAGGGTTTGGGGTTTTGGGTTTAGGGTTTAGGGTTTGGGGTTTAGGGCTTAGGGCTTAGGGTTTCGAGTTTGGGGATTAGGATGTGTAAGGGTTGTGGGTTTAGGGGCTTATGTTTCGAGATTTATTGTTAAGGGGTTTGTTGAGTATTTTTTAGGTTTTGTATAGGCTTTGTGGGGTCTTGAAGGGTTTGTAGAGTTTATGGGGTTGATAGGGTTTTGCGCGGTCAGGGTATAAGACTTGGACCTCTTCATCTACTGTCAGGGTTTGCGGGGCTTGGGGGCTGTTTGGGGACATCTGAAACGAGCAGCCAGAGTAGGCCCTTTTGCTCCCTTTTTAGGGCTTAGGTTCCCTTAGAGGCCTCTTTCACCAAAAAGGGCACCCTGGTTATTCCTTACCCTGGGGTCTAGGTATATAAACCCTTCGCAGGAGTTTCGAGCCCAAATTGGCGCAGCCTTAGGGGAGTTTAGGGTTTAGGGTTTAAGGTTTCAAGATTACAGGTTCAAGGGCAGTTCGGGGTCCTATGCGCAGTCCATCGTGCTGGTAGTAACTGGTAGTAGTGGGAGTGGTTGTTGTGGTTTGTTGTGGTCGAGGTACGAGTGGGTTTGTTATCGTGTATGGTTGGAGTTTCAACTTAAGGGACTAGGACCAGGAGTAGGCCCTTATTCTCATCTTTTGGGGTTTAAGTTCCCTTATCAGCCCCAAACCAAAAGGGGTACCCGTTTTATTCCTTGGCTACTCCTGGGTATAGGGGGACCATCTAGGTCCAAGTAGGGAATGGAGGGGAAGCCTTTCGGAGACTCAGCCCTTCGCAAGGGAAGGCTTAATGAGGTCTCTTGACCTTCCTTAAGGGGAACTGAAGTGTGGGCCCTCGGGGTTCACAGGGGAAAAAGGGCTTACAAAGGTTCCCCACTTAATGGCTTATATTCAGGGCCCTGTCACCGGTAACTACCCTTAGCGGTGCTTGATTTTAAAGCCTGGAGGTAAATAGACCCACCTAACACAGTTGGGGTGGCGAAGGGACGGGGCTAGCCAAATCCCCAAACCTTCAACCCTGGCCAGGGAGGTAAAGCAAGCCCCCTGAAAGGCATGGCCGTTTGGCGCGCCAACCGCCTGATTCGTGAGCCACCCTTGACAATGGCTTGGCAAAAGGGGGCTTGCTTGAGGGTTTAGGGTGTAGGGTCTAGGCTCAGAAATGGACATTCGTATCCTGGCAATAATGTATAGTGTGTGTGTGGTTTGCGTGGTATTCTGTCAATCTGAGTTACTCAAGAAATACTTGGACCCCAAAGCTCGCAATCCTTGCCCGCCACTTGGGTCCCCGAAACAACCATTGAGTCCTACTGAAAAACCCTGCTAGCACCAAACCCCAAACCCTAAACCCCTAAACCTTAAACCCTAAACCGGGGGAATTGGGACTAGGGACTGGGTAGGGAACCTGTAACCTGTTTGGCTATATGGGTAGTTCTCTAAATTCAGGTCCCCTTCTTGGGGTCCTTCGGATGAGGCTGCCGTACTACAAGGGACCCTTCATTTAGAGAACTACCCATGTAGAACCCCACTATTTCAACCTTCCCTAAACCCTAAACCCCAAACCCTAAACCCTAAACCCTAAACCCATAATATAGAGAACTACCCATATAGAATTTCCCTATATTAAGATGTTAACCCTCTGTGAGCTTGGGTAGTCAGCCCGAAAGGCTCGAAGTCCAAGCCAGACTTGTCTCAAGAGCCATCGAAGGGCTTCCGAAGATGCCCGTTTAGGGTTTAGGGTTTAGGGTTTAGGGTTAGGGCACTAGACGTGCCCTGAAAGGGTCGTATGAGGGGATATCGGAGGGGTAAGATCCCCCAGCAGTACCCCCAACCCCCAAACCCTAAATTCCCCCGACACCCCTAGACCCTAAAGACCCTAAACCCTGGACCCAAAACCCTAGACCCTAAACCCTAGACCCTAGACCCTAAAGCCTGATCCCAGCCGGTCGAGGTGTAGTGGGACTGGCAGCGATGGCCAAGGCCTTAGGGGCGTCAGGGTTCATCCGGACATGTACAGTACGCGGTTGAGGGTTGAGGGTTTAGGGTTTAGGGTTTAGGGTTTAGCGTTCAGGGTTTAGGGTTTAGGGTTTAGGGTTCGGTGGACGGCCCCAAGTCCGACTGAAACACAGGAGCCAACAAGCAAAGGATCACAATGTGAAATTCGACCCGGCGGCATCTAGGGTTTCGGGTTTCGGGTTTGGGGCTTGCGGCTTAGGGTTGGGATGTTCCCCCTTGTACTAATAGGGATTCTAGTACCCCCCCTTTTTTTAAATCCCTATTAAGGACTGTTAGTATAAGGGGGAACAGCCCAAGTTTAGGGATTCATGTTGTTAGGAAGTACGCGTGCTCTTATACTCAGGTTTACGGCGCTGCCAGTTCCGTCGTGCTGACCGACTTGGAACACATGCGCCTATGCCGCTCACAGGGGGTGAGTGGATGTGGGTTGAAGGTTGAGACCCGACACCCTAAACCCTAAACCCTAAACCCTAAACCCTTGGGTCGGGGGATAGGACTTAAGGTTGGGCTTTCACCACAGTAGGCTCTGATAGGGCCTTCTACCCTAAATCGCTTAAGCCCAAAACTCCAAATCTGCGCCTCGGACTAGGGTTTAGGGTTTCGGGTTTAGGGTTTAGGGTTTAGGGTGTAGGGTGTAGGGTGTAGGGTTTAGGGTTTAGGGTTTAGCGTTTAGGGTTTAGGGTTTAGGGTTTAGGGTTTAGGGCATCCCCCAAAATGCGCGAAGGGCTTACAGCTTGCGAGGAGATTTGAGAGAAGTCCCTTCAAGCCTCCCCAGACACGAAACCCTTGCGTAGCACCCCCCCCCCCCCCCGCCAAAAAAAAAGGGGGGGGGGGGGGGGGGGGGGGGGGGGGGGGTAGATGTGCCATCTTGTCGGGATTTCTCTAAATTGTTATTTACCAGGAGCAAAAGGGACCATCAGTTACTGGTTCTTACAAGGAACTGAAGCCTTAGTTCCTGTGAAGTTGCGGTGGGTCGAGAATTGTGTTACGGATCCGAGTATGATTTCAATGGAGTTTATTCCCCACAGGATGGCCCCGGACTCAAAACCCTAGACCGCCAACCCTCCTAAACCCTATACCCTATACCCTATACCCTAAACCCTAAACCCTAAACCCTAAACCCTAAACCCTAAACCCCTCCTCCTAACCTTGATCCTGGGCACGGAGCCATCCTTAGCGCCACTGTTTAGGGTTTCGGCGGGTATACCCCTTGGATAGTTTTTTGTGTCTTTCCTTCGTGGGCTTCAAGAGGATTATAGGGTTTTTTTCGAGGGGTTTTAGAGGGCCAACCTGGGTTGAGGGGTTATGGTTCGGCGGAGAAGAAAGTCCTCGGCCAGAGGGGTTGAGTTGGGCGGCTCGGCCATTACAGCCTGATGCCCCTGTTTGATGGGGCATATTTGATGGGTCTGAGGACTTGGGCACCGGCCTTGACGTTTTTGGCAAAGAACCACGCCTCTACATGGTTGCTGTTGTCGCAGGCATGCCTTGGAACATGTTTACTCGCCAGGCACATTACTGTCTGTGAGTTGTTATCACGCAGTGGCATAGATGTCATGGCAAGCTCTTCGCAAAGTTCTTCAGAGTAGTACACTATGACGACCCTAAAACCCTAAAACCCTAAAACCCTAAAACCCTAAAACCCTAAAACCCTAAAACCCTAAAACCCTAAAACCCTAAAACCCTAAAACCCTAAAACCCTAAAACCCTAAAACCCTAAACCCTAAACCCTATGCGTTATGCAGCACGGCAAACGTTGGATACGGTGGTGTTGCATACATTCAGCTGGCGGCTTCATATGCGATGGCTGCGAGGCTGCGCACCACGTATGAAGAATACGGCTGGTTCAGTGTAACACGCGCACGGCACGTTCAAAGAAGCTTGCGCAGCATTCTACTAGTTGCTTAAGACCCCCCCAAAAAATATATTCCTCCTTTATCAGGGCTAATATAGGGATTTCTGTTATGTATATATATATATATATATATTTGTTTGTTGATGTTTCATTATGAAATTTTTTGGGGGGTTCTGAAGCAAATAGCACAGTGCGCCCGGATATGATCGCGCGCCCGCCTTTTCGTGCACGCGAGAGTCGGAAAGCCGAGCTGCCTTCCAGGCCGCCTGCCGTGTGCTGTGTAGGCCCTGAGAAGGGCCTGCCATGAAACGGCCGAAACATGCTTGAGCCGAGTTCCTGCAAAATGTTTGGGTTTAGGGTTTAGGCTTAGGGCTTAGGGCTTAGGGTTTAGGGCTTAGGGCTTCGGGCTTCGGGCTTAGGGCTTAGGGCTTAGGGCTTAGGGTTTAGGGTTTAGGGCTTAGGGCTTAGGGTTTAGGGTTTAGGGTTAGGGTTCCGGCTAGCACGAAGAAAGCAGAATCTGACCAGGGCGACTACACATTGCTCATGAACACATGGCCAAGCACCACCACACATCAAACTGCAAATTGCGTCAGACCTCCTCTACACTGCCTAAACCCTAAGCCCTGAACCCTAAACCCTACTGGCACCTGGCTCATGGGCCAGCATGCAATTCACCCGATAGGCCCCAACCTAAAACCCCAACACCAGAAACCCCGCCCCTTCGACGAATTCGGCCGAAGTCTAAGGCAGCCCTTGCTGAAGAGGCCTTCGCGGCATGGGTATGTTTAAGATTTAAAATTGGGGGGGGGGGTATGTTTTATTTCCAGTACCGCGGTGAGAGTGTCAGCATGTTCTGCTACATCGGCCTCTCAACCAGGATGTGAAAGGGGTTGCTTTGGGGTCTCCAGGGTAGCATATCTGCAGAAGGGTCCATGATTTTGATCTATGGGACACAAGGAGGTCGTTGGGCTAAGCCCTTCTTTTTGGGCGTGGGGTGTTGTTTCATGTGTGCTTGTTCTTTAGCATATTCTACTAATTGCTTAAAACCCCCCAAAGAAAAGAACAGTCCTGCAGGGAAGGAACGACTGGTGTGGGGGCGCTCCGGTCTTTTTGGTCTGCGAGGTGCTTGAGGGAATGTAGGGTTTAAGGTTAGGGTTTAGGGTTTAGGGTTTAGGGTTTAGGGTTTAGGGTTTAGGGTTTAGGGTTTAGGGTTAGGGGTTAGGGTTTAGGGTTTAGGGTTTAGGGTTTAGGGTTTAGGGTTCCGTAGACCCTAACCCCAGGCCCTACACCTGAAGCCTAGAGCTTCCCCTGTATGGGGATTTCCAGGGAACCTATTTTCGTAAATCCCCATATGATCAGTTCTCAATGGGGTGCCTTATAGTTGTAACCCAAAGGGACGATAAAATAGATAAGACACCATATGGTGATGTACTTGCAAGAATGATAAAAGTGTGGCACTCAGGCTCCTATCGCAGATTTGTGCTTTGTTAACACTTGGCCTCGGGCCGACAGTAGGGTGTGGGAGATCCCTACACTTTAGGTTTTTGGGTTCAGCGCTTTGTTTGACCCTAGTTGAGGTTTAGGGTTTGGGGTTTGGGAACCGTGGCGGAACAGCCGTGTAAACGTAGAATCCAAGCTGCGACCTTGGTGGTTCTTCGTAGGTGATCTGTGGCCATATGGGTCAAGGGATTAAGGCTCGTACCCCTAAGGTTGTACTAAAACAGGTTCCCTTAGTAGGCGATTAATGAGGCCCTAATACTACCTAAAGGACCTGTAAACAGGATCCACAAAACCCCAGGGAACAACCTGAAGGGTCCAAGGTACTACCCCTGGAACGGGATCCTATTCAGCCCCTCAAGCTAGAATTGGGGAGCACAAGGTCCTTATCTGACTCAACACTGCCTACAGAATGGAGAGTTCCGCGCAGTTTTGAGGTTTTTGTTTGGGGCTGCTAGGGCTTCAGGGTTTAGGGCTTTAGCTTCTGTAAGTTTGATTTTTTTTTTGGGGGGGGGTTCACAAACAGGCGCAAGAAGCCCCAACGAATCGACTCCTTCGATCAGGAACATCGAGCTCAACTCATGTCAACACACATGCGAGGCTCGAACGTTGGCTCCTGGGCAGCAGACAATTTCGCTGAAGAGTCGGGTCTTCAGAAACCCTCAACCCTCAACCCTAAACGAGGGGGATCCACATTCCAAGGGTCCCCTGTTTTTATGAGGAACATGCTGTGATCGAGACCCGAAAAAGGGGCCTCCCGGCCCTAAACCCTACATGAGCAAAAACCGCGAGGCTTGGGGAAGTGATGTCCCGCAAAAGATCAAAGACATCGACGTGGTGATTGCGGCGGACGTCGTATATCCAACAAAGGACAACCCCCCCTCCCCCCCCCCCCCGACAGATCAGATCCCTCAAGTAAGAAAGACTTTGCCGGAAATCTTAAAACTCCTATTGCTTCAGAGGAATTCTAGTTTAGCCACTTTTCTTCCTGGCTAGTGGAGCAGGAAGGTAATGCCAAGGAACCTGGAAACAGAAGCCTGGAATTCGAAACCCTATACCCTACCAAGACGCCAGTTGTAGCCCCTTTTTGGGTTAAGGGCTTCGGGCCGTTAACAGAGTTTGAGGTTTTGCCTTGTTCATTTGGTTGAGTGAGTGTGTGTGTGTGTGTGTTGAGGGAGGCGAAACTAACTTTCGTTTGTAGTTCCACACCAAACCTTCAGGTACCCCCCGCCCCCGACACCCCCAGGAACTACGATGGGAGTGGGCTGGCGTCAGGGTAAACCATAACACCCAAAGCTGTTCGACGCACGATTTCAGGAAGTTCAGGGTTCCTGGATTTAGGGTTTAGGGTTTACCGTTTAGGGTTTACGGTCTAGGGTTTAGGGTTTAGGGCTTAGGGTTTAGGGTTTAGGGTTTAGGGTTTAGGGCTTAGGGTTACAATCCAGAAGCGTGGCAGAACCCACCCGAAAGCCTTGTTGCGTAACGTGGTACTTGAGCGAGGCTAGCGGTTTCTCGGGTAGGACTCATGCAATTCGGTTTTGGAGGTTTTATCTGGCAGCAAGATTCATTCCTTCAACAAGCTTGGTGTTTCAGGGGCTTGATGTCAAGGCCATTATGCCTCAAAGAATGCGTCAAGAACACATGAGCTAGGCAAGATCCACTCTAGAACCTGAGCCAGAGAGCTGGTGCGACCGCCTATTGACATTCCATAATCTGTGCTAGAGCTGTTCATCGAAAGCATGCCATGCGTGCCCAAACATTGCAAGATACTGTCTGTTTGTGACAACCTGCACCCAATGACCCGCCATGCAGCACACCAGTTGCTGCTAGCCGTGTGATGCCGCAGCAATGCAAATTCCGTGCCTTGGCAATGTGCTGGCCGTGCATGTAACTATATCCCCCTTGGTTCTTATGTTTTTTTTATTATTTTTATTCATATAAAACTCAAGAGGATCTTGAACATATCATTTTTATTAAGGTTCCAAGGGGAGTATAGGTAAGGACCTCCCTCACCACCAAATACACTCCTCAACGCTCTCGCAGGTATCAATCTTAATTACCCCCCCCCCCCCCCCCGTCAAGACACTACATATGGCGGTTTACAAAAAGAAGGGGGCCCCGAATATACATCCCCAAATAGTAGGAGTCCCTATCATCAGGGCCCCAACAAGGTACCCCTTATTTTTCGGTTTGAGAACTGATACATATACACATACAGATACATATGCATATACGTATACATATAAACCATAATGCAGGATTTAACGCACTTCTGCGTACACATATCTATATATGTATCCATACATACATACACACATACATATATATATATATATATGGGCGTCCGCCTATTGCGGTTCCCCTTATTTTGATGGGTTTACATAAATGTATATATTTTCAGCCCCAACCCATCGTTATAACCACAGCAACAAGTCGATGATGATGTAGGCACCCCAAACCTATAGGGTTAAGGTTGACAGGTTTAGAGTTTAAGATTGAGGCATTTAAACCCGCAATGAAACCTAAACCCTAACCGTTCAACCCGATAGAGTTAAGGTTAAGCGGTTAGGGTTTATGATTTAGCCATGTTTAAACTTTAAACCTAAACCCACAGAATTTTAACCTTAAGGGTTGAAAGTTCGGGCATTTAGACCTTAACCCTGATTCGTTTAGGGTCAGAACCTGAAAACCCGAGAGGGCTCCCAAAGGTTCAAAGGTTTTGACCCTAAAGGGTGCTGAAGGTATACATGCGCAGACCTTAGGTTGTCGAACCACTGAACCCTACCGGGTTTAAAGGTTTAGGGTTTAAGGTTTGGGCATTTCTTACCTATACAATAGAACTTTAAAACCCTATAGGGTTTGGGGCTTAAATCCCTAAACCTTAAATTCCATAGGATTATGCCTACATTTGTAGGGCTTTCGTCCCAGTGACGCGAGATGACTGTGAGCAAATGTCCTTTCACTAATTCCTGGATTTCAAAATATCAACAAATGTGATAGAATTCAAGTTTTGCTTATCGCGGGCTGGTTGCTTAAGATATGCTAGGTAAGGTAAAGCTTTTAGGATGGATGTTTTGTTTTGCTTATTGGGGCGTGATGGGGCATTTTCTTATAGGTTTATTTACATATATATATATATATAAATCAAACCCTGAACCATAGTTATCATCGCAGCAAAAAGTTACAACCTTGTCATTTACATATATCCGCAGGGCTCGTGACTTTCACTACTTGCTGGGATTCAACATATAAACAGAATATATCGTTAAATGATGGAATTCAGGTTTTCATGTCGGGGGATGGTTGCTTGAGACATCTTAGCTAAAGTATTTGGGATAGATGTTTTGTTTTGTTTATTGGGGCTTCCCCTTATTCTTATCGGTTTACAGAAGTGTATATAAATCAAACCCTAACCAATGGTTATAACCACAGCAATAAGTTATAACTTTGTCATATACATATTTCCGCAGAGCTCGTCAAATCCGATGATGATGTAGGCACCCCAACCCTATAGGGTTAAGGTTGACAGGTTTAGGGGGTACGACTGAGGCATTTAAACCAAAGCCAGCAAGTACACGCAAACCCGAACCTTTAAACCCTATAGAGTTAGGGTTGAAGGCGCAATCCCAGACAGTATACGTATACTTATGAGCAGAAAAGATACGGGGGACACTGCTTGCGATTCAGAATATTAGGAGCAGAAAGATACAGGGGACACCGCTTGCGATTCAGAATTTTCGGAGCAGAAAAGATGCGGTCGAGGTACCTCGGCAGGAACCATTAAACCATTAAACCATTAAACCATTAAACCATTAAACCATTAAACCATTAAACCATTAAACCATTAAACCATTAAACCATTAAACCATTAAACCATTAAACCATTAAACCATTAAACCAATGGTTTGGCCCATATGAGAATCCCCTAAACCACTAAACCATTTAACCATTAAACCATTAAACCATTAAGCCATTAAACCATGAAACCAATGGTTTTCCCCATATGAGAATCATTAAACCATTAAACCATTAAACCATTAAACCATTAAACCATTAAACCATTAAACCATTAAACCATTAAACCATTAAACCATTAAACCATTAAACCATTAAACCAGTATCCATTAAACAATTAAACCAATGGTTTCCCCCATGAAAATGGTTTAGTGGTTTAGGGGATTCTCATATGGGGGAAGGCATTGGTTTAATGGTTTAATGGTTTAATGGTTTAATGGTTTAATGGTTTAATGGTTTAATGGTTTCATGGTTTAATGGTTTAATGGTTCAATGGTTTCATGGTTTAATGGTTTAAGGGATTCTCATATGGGGAAAACCATTGGTTTAATGGCTTAATGGTTTAATGGTTTAATGGTTTAATGGTTTAATGGTTTAATGGTTTAATGGTTTAATGGTTTAATGGTTTAGGGGCTTCTCATAAGGGGGAAACCATTGGTTTAATGGTTGAATGGTTTAATGGGTTCAATGTTTAATGGTTTAATGGTTTAATTATGGTTTAGGGGATTCTCAAATGGGGGAAACCATTGGTTTAATGGTTTCATGGTTTAATGGTTTAATGGTTTGAGGGATTCTTGGTTGAATGGTTTAAGGGAATGTGCAAAAAAACACAGGGCCGCTATAGGCGGTGACCCATATATATATATAAATATATATATATATATATTCATATTTACATGCGTATTGATACTGTTTGTGTTTTTGTGTATATGACGAATACATATATATATATATATATATATAGAGAGACATATCGAGAAGATTAGTTCTTGAGAGGTTATTCGTAAGGCAGGGGATGGCAAAGCCCAAACCCGAGTTTAGAATCCCGATTGTCGCAGCTGAAGGAATTAATCCATTAAGGCCTAAAAGCTGGGTAAGGCTTGGGGGGAGGGTTGGGGTTTAGGCTTTAGGGTTTCGGGTTTAGGGTGTAGGGTTTAGAGTTTAGAGTGGATTCCGTCCCCTTAAGGAGTGCCGAGCGCTTGCTGTCGCCCATCTTCGTTCTGGCCTTGCATGCCGGACCCTGAGATCTTGGTGTTAGGGTGTTAGGGTGTTAGGGTGTTAGGGTTTAGCGTTTAGGGTTTAGGGTTTAGGGTTTACAAGCACTCTCAGGCCTTGTTGCTGGCGGATGTTGCGGCCCACCGGAGGCCGTGACTGCATGACACGTTTTGAAGGTTCAGCCAGCTCTGCTTGGGATGAGTGACTTCGTCTACCGGTTGGTTTAGGGTTTAGGGTTTAGGGTTTCGGGTTTCGGGTTTCGGGTTTGGGGTTTGGGGTTTGAGCTTTGGGGTTTGGGGTTGAGTGCCGTTTCCACCTTTCGAAAAGAGGCATCTCCGCGAGTTCAAGTCCCGCGCTCCCCTGGAATGGTTCCTGGCGGTGCCTTGCTTCAAGGGCGTTACATGGTCCCTGAATATGGACCCCTGAATGCGGACCCCTTTTGTTTAGGGTTTAGGGTTTAGGGTTTAGGGGTTAAGGTTTAGGCAGGGTTTAGGAGTTTGGGCTTGCAGGGTCTCAGGGGTTTAGGGTTTGGGGTTTAGGGTTTAGGGTTTAGGGCACCAGGGCTTGAAGGCACTGGGGTTTTGGGGGGGTATTTTCAGGGTTTCGGGTTAGGTGTCGGGACCCCCTGATAGGACGACAGCCCCTTGAAGCTTGTCTAAGGGTCGTTGCATGGTCCCTGAATATGGACCCCTAAATGGGGACCCCTTTGTTTAGGGTTTAGGGTTTGGGGTTTAGGGTTTAGGGTTTAGGGTTTAGGGTTTAGGGTTTAGGGTTTAGGGACCCCTTGTATGTACCCTATAAACCCCCCATCCCATACTTCCGAACCCTAAGGGGCCATGTGAAGGGACCCTGTATGCTAC